AGCCCGCGGGTTCAAGACCTGCCTGGGCAGCGAGACCTCATCTCTACAATAAATCAAAAAACAGTCGGGCGTGGTAGCGCATGCCTGTAATTCCGGCACTCGGAAGGCTGAGGCGGAAGGATCGCCGGAGCCCAGCAGGTCGAGGCTGCGGTGGCCGGGAGCGGCCACTGCACTCCAGTCTGGGCGACAGAGTGAGACTCCAACTCAAAAAAAAAAAGAAAAGAAAAGAAATATTAGCCAGGTGTGGTGGTGTGCACTTGTAGTCCCAGGTTCTCGGGAGCCTGAGTGGGAGGATTACTTGAGCCCAGGAGTTCGAGGCTGTAGTGATCTACAATTGTACTGCACTCCAGCCTGGGCAACAGAAGGAGACTGTTTCAGAAAGAAAAAAAAAGAAAGGAAAGAAGGAGCAGCCACGCCTTAATCATCTATGTCTAGTTATCTTGCACAGAGTAGGTACTCAGTACAATGGTGTGCAACACCGCAAGGGTGCTCAACTTCTCACTTATAGTACGAGTCAGTTATAGAGGAGCCAAACTTCAGAGCGACATAGATGAGATGCCAATCCTGAGAGCCTAAGACTATTCATTAAATTAACCAGATACAGAACAGATTCAGAGATAAGAGGTCAAATCAGTTTCCCAGGAACATAATACAGAACATTAACCATTAAAAAAGAGTAAGGACAAGCCAGGCGCAGTGGCTCACGCCTGTCATCCCAGCACTTTGGGAGGCCTAGGCAAGAGAATTGCCTGAGCCCAGGAGTCTGAGACCAGCCTGGGTATCATAGTGAGACCTCGTTTCTACAAAAAATAAAAAAAAATAAGCTGAGCAGGGTGGCACGTGCCTATAGTCCCAGCTTCTTGGGAGGCTGAAGCCAAAGGATCGTGTGAGCCCAGGAGGTCAAGACTGCAGTGAACTGTGATTATACCACTGCTCTCCAGCCTGGGTGGCAGAATGATATTCCAATGAGAGACAGAGAGAGAGACAGAGACAGAGACAGAGATAGAACCAGAGAGACAAAGAAAGGCTAGCAAACTTTTTCTGTAAAGGGCCAGATGGTAAGCACTTTAGGCTTTGGGATCTTATGGTTTTGTGGCAACTACCCAACCCTGACATGTGATCATGAAAACGCCATGGCAGTATGCAAACAAACGGGAGTGGCTGCATTTCAATATATTATATTTAAGAAAAACATCTAGGCTGGGCATGGTGGCTCAAGGCTGTAATCCCAGCACTTTGGGAGGCCGAGGCAAGAGGATTGCCTAAATCCAGGGGTTCAAGACCAGCCTGTGCAACTTGACGAGACCTCATCTCTGCAAAAAATCAAAAAATTAGCTGGGCGTAGTAGCATGAGCCTGTAGCTCCAGTTACTTGGAGTGCTGAGGCAGAAGAATCACCTAAGTCCAGAAGGTCGAGGCCGCGGTGGCGGTGAGCGTGCCACTGCCCTCCAGCCTGGGCAACAGAGTGAGACTCCAACTCAAAAAAAAAGAAAGAAAGAGAAAGAAAAGAAAAAACAGTTGGTGGCTCACATTTGACCCATGGGCAACAGTTTGCCAACTCCTAAGATAGAGGCCTGTCCCGCTGGCATTCATAACACAAAAAGGAGGATTTATAACACAAGAAACTCAGAGTAATACCCAATGGTGACATAAAATGGAAAAGCTGAAATCAAGGATTACAAGTAAAGTTCTCATTAAGTTTCAAAACCTAAAACGGACAAGTATACAATTAGACAGAGAGGAGGTTTCATGTAAAACGTCTGCGGAACTGGATCAGCCTGGGCTACATAGCGAGACCCCATCCCTTTAAGATCAAGACAACCTTTATGCTAAAGGTTCGCAAGGAAAAAAGGACTTTGGGGTTAGAGTTGCCTGAAGACGCACTATCTGATTTGTGGAGACAGGACAAGTGGTGCCATGTGGCTGCTTAGAAAATCCAAGATGCCCTAGGTCGCGTTCATGAAAGCAGCACACCCAGAAAAAACAAGGCGAGCATCCCAGGGGGGCTGGCAGTGTCCGAGCTACCACAGGATGCCGTGCACTCATCCCAGCGCCTGACACGTAGGAGGTGCTCACTAGAAAATAGCTCTCCCCACACTTTGCTCCAGCTGGAGTGGTTTGATATTTGAGGGTCCCCTCGTTGCAATCTCTGTGCTGCACCCAAATGTGAAGAAGAGGCGTCTGAGCAAAGGGCTGAATGGCTTGCCAGGGACGAGATTGCTAAGCGGCTGGGGGGAAGCGTGTCCGGGCAGACGGGCAGCTGCAGAATCTGCTCCGTGACTCTCTCACGGGGCTCTGTTTCGCTCTCTTTCCCTTCAAATCTCAGTTAAAATACAGGTTTTGGGCAACCCCTTCGGGTCCCCTCCCACTATGGGAGCTTTTCTGTCCTCTTAATAAATCCTGCTTTCTAAACAAACAAACCAACCAACCAACAAACAACAAACAAACACAGGTTTCAAGGCCAGGTGCAGCAACGGCTCATGCCTGCAATCCCAGCGCTTTAGGAGGCAGTGGCGGGGGGGATTCCTTGAGCACAAGAGTTCAAGATCAGCCCGGGCAACATAGCCAGACCCCCGTTTTTACTAAAATAAGTCTAAAAATGAGCTGAGCATGGTGGCGTGGGCTGTAGTCCCAAACACTAGAGTAGGAAGATTGCTTGAGCTCAGGAGTTCGAGGCTGCAGTGAGCTATTGGGCCCCAGGGCGAGATTCTGTCTCAAAGAAAACAAAAACATTGAAAAAATAAAATGAAGGTTTCTATAAACTGGGGTGGGGAGATCATCAGACTTCCCAAGAGGTCTTAATTTCAGCTTTGTTGCCTATAAAAATAGACCCCTTTTACTTAGAAAGAAGAAACACTTGTGTTGAGTTGTGTAAGGAAACATCTGAAGTCTTTTAAACGAGGTTACGAAGGGACGTGAGTTTAAGGAACCAGCAGGTCTACAGTGGGGCTTCTCATAGCCACCAATAATCCCCTTGCAAAGGAACTAATTATCTTTGGAGAGGACGCCTGCGTCTGATAAAATAATTAAAAATAAATTACTCTCCTTGGAAATGCAAAATAACAAGTGTCAAAGCAACTCGGTTGGTCACATCCACAATACATAGCTGCATTTTCTCCCGTCTGTGGGGTTCTCCCGTCTGTGGGGTGGCACTGATTGATTCTGGCTACAGCAGGCCTGAGCAGCTTTGGAAACAAAGGTGAGGACACCACAGGCCCAATGGAGACAGCTGTTGAAAGCTTTGAGCCAGCCGGGCGTGGTAGCGCGCGTCTGTCGTTCCAGCTCCTCGGAAGGCTGAGGCGGGAGGATCGCCGGAGCCCGGCAGGTCGAGGCTGCGGTGGCTGGAGCGGCCGCTGCACTCCGGTCTGGGCGACAGAGCGAGACTCCAACTCAAAAAAAAGAGAAAGCTTTGAGCCATCATCACCCCCTTTGCCTCCCCCAGGCTTTTGAAGCTGAGAGGATCCCAAGGGCCCAGACTTCACCTACCGAACCCCAGGCCTGCTGGAAGAGGAAGGAATGGCGGCCTGTTCCTTCCTCCTCCTCCAGATACCTACAAATCTTCCCCTCCTACCTAGCGCTGTCAGGTCAAAGAGAATAAGGCATCGGCCAAGCACCAGGAGCCAGGTGGGCCCTTCTGGGCTGGGGGTGGGGGTGGAGGGGTGGTGGAACGGGGTGGTACAGGCAGGGGAGGAAGGGTGGAAGGAGGCCTTGGGGAGCTCACGGGACGGTTGTGGCATGAAATTTTTTAAAAAGTTTTCCCCCAACAATGACTTAATAGGCCTTATCAAACCAAAACCAAATCCCCCAAAAGTCAGGCTACAGAATGTTTTATCTTTTTGTCAGAGCGCCGGTATTTTTTTTTTTTTTGAGTTGGAGTCTCACTCTGTCGCCCAGACTGGAGTACAGTGGCCGCTCCCGGCCACCGCAGCCTCGACCTGCCGGGCTCCGGCGATCCTTCTGCCTCAGCCTTCCGAGTAGCCGGAATTACAGGCACGCGCTACCACGTCTGGCTGATTTTTTGACTTATTGTAGAGATGAGGTCTCGCTGCCCAGGCGGGTCTCGAACCCTCAGGCTCAGGCAATCCACTCACCTCAGCCTCCCAAAGGCGCGGGATTACAGGCTGAGCCACCGAGCCAGGCTAGTATTAAGTAAGCATCTATCGTGTGGACCTGCCTCTTGAGTGGTTGTTGGTAGATGGCCTGGGGGAACGGAATTGGGTTTCTGCCTTGAAAAAAGACATGTCCTTTCACCTCGCTGCCATCAGACCCTTCCTTACGCTTCTGATCTAGAGGAGAAAGAGGACTTGGGGGCTGTGTGACCGGCGACATAAGAGAGGAGAAGAGCTGGGTGGGGTGGCACAGCCTGTAATCCCAGCACTCTGGGAGGCAGAGGTGAGAGAATTGCCTGAGCCCAGGGGTTCGAGATCAGCCTGGGCAACTTGGGGAGACCTCGTCTCTACAATAAACCAAAAAATTAGCTGGGCGTGGTGGTGCACGCCTGTAGTTCCAGCTCCTTGGAAGGCTGAG